TTCGTGTTCACGTTTAGCTCGGCTACGACGGGATTCGCATTGTCGACGGCGGCGATGGTCACAAAATCCTACTTGCAGATTTGCCGCTGCGATTCAGCGCCATGAGTTTGATATCGTCTAAAGTCGTAGCGTTGTGCATCTCCCTACTCATCTCTGGTATAGGAGACCGGCTCATGGAAGAATGAGCGCTCCAAGCCGAGGCACTTCCTTAAGTATTCTCCCACCACTCGTCGGCTCGTGCGCGGCAAAACTTTTCATCGCCGTGGTTCTTGTATTTTCCTCGTTTTGAATATAATACTTAATATTAAATTACTTGAACACGGTCTTCTTCCCTTATTGTATCACAATGACAGTACGAATAAAATAGCATCCATATATGTTAATATGAGAATATTACCTTAAAGTTTGCACTTTTGTACTTCTTGCTCGTTGATACTCGTGATGCTGTCATATGATCTCAATTAGATTAATCTCAAGTATTGTATAGAGCCATCGGTTTCCGAGTTAAAACTCAAAAATTGTATAATCACCCGATGCTCGTCAGATAAAAGATTCGTCTCTAATGTTACTTCATGGTTGTGACCATCGTCCCAATCTTAAATTCTAGTACTAAAAGAACTCATAAATCCTAAAACACGGAACACGTGGATTACGAGTGACGCGAACTGCCGCTCTTTGCCTACTTCATGTTCGTGCTACTGTCATGCTTCCCATAACCATAAAAAAGTAGTCTGCTCGGTAAAATGTAGCGATCAGACTCAAGATATTTAATTCGGAATCCTTAAAAAAAAATCTACAAATGTCGAGGCGTTAGAAATGCCGTTTTCGTCATGTACTCGAGATCAGGAAAAATTAAATGATGTTATAAATCAAGTGAAGGCACTTTCCAAGATCGTTGACGAATTACGTGCCGAAGTAAACGCCATAAAGATGAGCTCATCGTGCCTAAGGCCGGACAATAACCCCATAGAACTCTTGGCTCTCGAGCAATTCGAGAAGAAAGACAGAGCCTCTCGCAAGAGTACTCTGAGTAAATTCAAGAGATGCTTTAAGAAGAGAAAATTACTTAAAGAAAAACCGGAATTATATTACTACCAAGAGAATCAGTCCGATATGCTTTCACCGTCCAGTGACAAGTACTACGTTGAGAATACGCAGGGGTCGTTCCTGTCGGAAAGATCTTCTCCTCGTGTAAATGGGCTAAAGGATCAATTTGATAACGGGACTGTGGAAGTAAAAAGAAAAAGAAAAAATACGGTACCGAGTGAACTTGTAGAATTTTCAGAATCTCAATCTACTGGTGAGTCGTCATCGAGCTCCGTCGATCCAATGGAATACAATTCAAGTTTGAGAACTTGGCAATTTAATGACGTAGAAGAAGCGAGAGAAAGAAATAAAGAGAAAGGTAGGAAATGTTTGAAAAGAAAAAAATGTAAGAGCAAGCGAGAAGCTAATTGTAAGAAGAATGTTAAAGCTCGATTTTCAAGGGAAGATAAATACAAACCAACTTCCTCCTCTGATCTTGCGTCATCTCAGATATCCGAGGATGATTTTTTGAAGTATCAAAGGAGCGTCACTTTCATTGATAAAAGAAGAGAATTACCCAAGATGGCTGCTCAAAGGTCACAGACCAGTTCGGTTTCCGTAATATCCATTGAGGATCCAGATTTGGATTCTGATTACGGAGATAGAGTCAAGCAATCCAAAAGTGCTTGGAAAGTACCAATTAAATCTAAATTGAAGAACAGAATTAAACGGAGAACCAGTAACATTCTTCGGTCTAAAAGAAAGGGAAAGATGAAAAAAGTTAATTGCGGTACTAATTGTCCTTACTTTAAAGATGTTCGCGTTGACAACCATATTGATCAAGTCGTTATTGCTACTGATACTGTTACTGTGCCGCCGTTAACTGAGCACAGGAAAACTCAAACGGAGAACGATGTAAATAATGGTCGAAGGGACGAAGTCTCGGAGAAAAAAGCTGCGCGACAGAACAAAAAAGTGAAGTCTACGAAAATGGCTAAAGGTACTTCGAGCAACTTGGAATCTTCGAGTAGCGACAGTCAAAGGTCAAATTCCAAAAGAAAGTCTTGTTGCCCTTTTAAGAAAGGCTCGACTAAGCAAGGACATGTTTCTTCAAATTCTGATAATGGGAGTGTAGTGTCCAGTGAAAGTTCTGATGCCAATTCGAAATATGTAACTAAGAAGGTTCCTGTAGTTATTTTACAAAATAGTGTATCCACTTCCGAGAGGAGCACAGATTCTGTAAATGGTAGTGAAGCAGATTTTGAAAAGAATAAAAAAAGTGTAGGTATAAAAAAAAATCCTCAAGACATTGAAATCGTGAGAGAAAGCAAGATGCAGGGTAGATCTGTCGATGGACCAAGTAGTTATAATTACTCTCACGTGGCCGACAAACCCAGTCGACGTACTTTATTCAAAATTGGAAAAAAAAGAACGCAAACGTTATTACCAGCTAAGAAAAATTTGCCTTATAACACTCCCGGCACCATTTTGGGAAATGGTACGGAAAATTTTGAAAAATCGCAATCAACGAATATGCATTTAATTTATCCCAATGATCCTGAGTCCCACGGAGAAAGACGAGTTTACGAGAAAGAGGTTTTTCGAAAAAACTCAAAAAAAGAAAGAAGGACGAAAGGATCAAATAGGAAAAAGAAACTTGGCGAACGTTTGGAAACGGACGTGATAAGTGTATCGAATTTTTCATCTCCAAGTGAACGAAAAGGAGTCACGAGTCCTGTCGACTCTGAGGAAAGAATTTATGAAATAAAAAAGGAACAAATTGAAAAATCAAAGAAGGATCAGAGGAATCGTTATGATTCGCAAAAGTATCCGACACGAATAAATGTGCAGCCCTACGTTTATCAAGCATCTTATGTGCATCAGAATGAGAGACCCTTCGTCAAAGATTCTCTTTCTTCATATACCAGAAAATCATCCGAGCACATTTACAATGAATCCGCTCTAGTGAATGTCAAGACTTCTGACAATTCTTGTTACAATTCTAAGAACGAACCGTCGGAAAATCCGTTTACCGATACGGTACTTTTTATCGAAAATCGGCCACGGGCACTTCTGGATTCTGGATTGCGGATGACAGAAATATCAAATAGACTTTACAATTGTCTTCATAAACTCGATCATATTATTGCTTGAAAGAAATAAAATTCATGTTCAATTTAGAGATTCGTAATAATTATTTAATCGTATTAACGAACAATAATAATACAAGAATAGATAGTCAAAACAATTAAAAGTAAGAGTGCTGATAACACCGAAGTTTATATGAGTCCTCAGACTTTGTGAAAAGACAACTTTTTCATTTAATGATCAAAAATTCAGTTTTATTCATACCAATTAGGATAAATGTTCTTACTCACGAAGTCAAAATAATAATGTTACAAATATCTTATCAGTTTGACAGTAAAGTCAAAACCAGATACAAGAAAACAAGACTTTTATTGTTCTACTTTCCTGCCTATTCATCGAGGGGTTTAGAATTAAAATCTCCACCAATTCAGTGTCTCTAAAAAATTACAAAATTGAATAATACATTATGATTATATGCAGAAAATTAAGTGAAAGGCGCAATTCGCATTGACTTTATTGAAATTTTCAAGTTTTCATTGATTCGTGTATTTTTACCTTTCCATCGATTTCCCATAGTTACATCAGCGATTTAAGATCATTTTTCGTTTTCATTTTGATATAGACTGCAGTTTCATATTCTATTAATTTATTCATTGGCAGCCCAAATATGTACATCGTTCAATACTAATTATCGTCCTATTGGTCTATGAGTCTTTATAATATATGAAAAGTATCACGAGCAAAACAAAAATAGGAAATAGATAAATTGAAATTCACAGTTAATATCCAGCTGGAATTGCACTCGGACTGGATTTTCTGGACAATGAAAACGTGACTGATATTTCTATAGTTTGGTAGGAAGGTAAACCACGTGGAAAGTCGAAAACAGAAAGCACCGTAGCGTATGAGAGATTTGCAGAATCGCTTTGATACCTCTGAAATGTCCGAAATGCTTATCACGGATTACCAAAAGGCCGATTTGTTCGGGTCGTTTAATTAACTCAAAAACTGTCATTACGTTGGAATAAATATGAGGAATTAATAGTTAAGACGGGAGCACGCTGAAATTAATTAATCGTTTTTAATTAATAATTCAATATTTTGATAGCCTTTCGCTTTGTTCTCTTTGATTTTATTTCGCGTCGTTAATATTTTTATTTCGTATTATAAGATACATTGCTTGACAAACGATTATACAGACGTACAATATATTCAGGGATTCACATTTCGCGCTCTTCTTTCATATATTACAATGAGTTCCCTTGTCGCACTTCTTTCTGCGTATTTATTTCTATTTACAGAAGTCTTGTCGGTTTGCAAGTTTACATGGATTTTTCGTAATGGCTAACATTGACTCTTATTCCTCTAATTTATGCCAAAATCGTCCAGCGACACTTTTTCAGGAGAATATTTTCCTATTTTTCCCTTTCAAGCCAAATTTACGTTTCAATTAATCCTCATTTATCCACTTATTAACCATCACTTTAGGAAGTTCACTGAAATTCCATAAAATAGAAATGTCCATGATGCGTTTCGACAATTTTTAGAGATTGGAAAAGATCTTTTCGATCCTGCCTGAATCATCAGATTCTATTTACACATATTCATCTCGATACATTATATATATATTCTGCAAAAAGTTTTTTGCCAGACTTTACACCGTGCATAACACCATTATACGATTATGATTATTTCAATAATAATAAATTCCTATTATCGTACAAAGGATGCTCTCTCGTCTTATATACAGAAAAAGGTCTTAGTCTACGTTGACTTTATTGGCAGCTTTATTTGTGCATGCGCAAACAGAGTGACTCTTCCTTCTCATGAGAAATAACGACGTCTTGCGAAGCTCGTTATCAGTCAGAATTCTAATTATTTTCAGTAGACAAGAATTGAGCCTGAAAAACGATTCGTGAAATTTCGTACAATAAGAAGACCAGGCACGTTCTCCGTGAATACATTCCTCCTTATCCTCGTATTTGATCCGACGGAGAATAGGACTCTCAGATATACGTGGTATCTAACATATGGGTGATTTAGAAGCTCTGCGTAGTGAAGCCGAAATGAAGAAACGAAGAAAAAAGAAACGAGACGCGCATAAGGAGAGAAACTAACTTCATTACTTTGCAAGTGTTGCTCGAAGGTATTAAGGAAGGAAGATTCGACAAGGAGTCGGGCAGACTGTGAGGCAGAAGGATGTAAGAGAACGAGAGACCTAGCGAGAGGCAGGATAAAGATAGGAAGGACGTAACAAGAAAAATAACTCCCATGGTGTTTGAGTTTTATTGGAATTTTTGCCGTAAAATTGGCGAGTAAAGTTTCGAACCGGCCGCAATGTCCTGGACGTGCGACTCCCTTATATTTCCCTGGGGAAAAGAGAGAAACTGAAAGTTGGGGAAGGAGTGAGTAGAAGATCCAGGAAATAGAGACAGTAGTGAGAGGGAGAGAAAGAAAGATGCAGGATAGAAGATAGAGAACGCGAAAGCGAGATAACAGCGTTAAGTAACAAATAATTGTAAAATATTATAAGACACGCGTTTTTAAGTAATAAAATTTGGACTCTCCGGCGTGTCAATTTCCAACGAGTTACTATAACGTTTAGTCTAAAGAAACTTGACGCCAATATCGATTGTCATTAGCCACCGTTTTGAAATAATCTTGACAAGAATTCACTGGAGAGTCCTGGGATATCGGAGTATGATCCTTGGAGCTTTTGAAACCTTGCCGAACGACAGAAGACGCGCTATCGGAGGCGTCGGGACGCTTCCCGTGTCTTACCTTATGATATGTTAAGAAACGAAAGAGTCTCTTCTAATCGCTATAATTAATAATTTCATTTTTTCCTCGCTTTTTCGACAATCTTCCCGCCTCTTGCGTTTGCCATATTAATATAAGAGTCCTTTGAGAATATTTGTTTCCCAATCGATGAAAACGCAAGGATTCACCGTCGTGGACTTAGTAACCCCTTTTACATCTAATTTTTTTTTTTAACTATTTCGATAACGTACTCGAAATACCAATGTTAAACAACGTGGATAGTCCTTCTAAACGCAACATTCGTAGCACTCGGTGCCTATACCTCTTATTTGTTAATTTAGTTATTGTTCTTGAGCACAAACTTTTTATTTTTCCTATCCTGCCGCGCACGTATCGTTCCTCGAGTGATTCTTAAGTGAAAAGCTTTCGAGACGCAGCGTATAAAATTGCATTGTAATACTGCGGGTTCTTCCTTCGTTACTTCGTTTGACATACTGGAAGAACGAACGTACCAGCCGCTCAGCGTATTTACTATATTACGTACAAGAACATGGTACTTGGTGAATGGTAATACAAAAACGGATTTAGTTCCTAGCTAGACAGGCGTATAGAAACGTTAGACTGTTAAAGAATTCTCGATGATTAATCGGGACATTGTGATCTCGTTGATTAATGAAGAGCTTGATAATCATTAGACACATGAAGCTCGTATAAAATATTATTTAGGTCGACATTGTTCACGATAATAGTCAAGAATGATATATTATGGTTAACTGTTAATGTAGAATGTTAATTTCATGATTTACTTCGGTCCGTGTACGCTCGGTGGTGCAGGATTATTTCGTCTCTTCGTGAACGGCGCATTTGCCAATAAAATTCTAGGGCAGCTGACCACGGCTCGTGGCTCCTGGGTCGCTGGATAATCGTGCTTTATTAGCCAAAATCAATATTTCCATTAAATTAATATCCCCAAATACGTGCCAATTAATGCTCGTCCAATAAACTTATTTGGGCTGACGTTTATGAGCTTCGTGCGATTTTCTAGCCTTCATTAAAATCCTGTATCATCTTTGAAAAACAACCTCAAGGAAAGTTGGTTGACGATGTGCTCGGAATTTGAGATCAGCTGGGATAAGTCGAGGATGGACTTCCCATGGGAAAAGGAGACTGATAGGATAGAGAAGAAGTTCATTCTATCAATGTCAATCACGACGTCCCGATCACTGAGATCTACCGTTGAACCGTTCCTTTGGAATCGCCAATCGAGGTCCCCTAGGGCTCACTGACAAACAAGATCAGCCAATGATCTTACATTTCCGTGTTTTCCTCAGCCTCTTCGTCCACTTCCGGAAGAGTGTAAACAGCAGAGATCGGAGCGAGCTGCTCCTCCAATTTGAGCATTGGCTTGCAGTCTCTGGTGACGTCCACCTGGTTGTACGAGTCCTTGAGCACGTTGATTTCATTCTCGTGGGCGAAGATGCTCGTCGGGGTGTCGCCGCAGAGCGTCTCCTCGGTGACGTTTCTGTGGCAGAGGGTGCTTGTCGGAAATTGTCACGAAGTTAGTGCAAATGGATCCGCAGCGAGCTCATCCACACTGGGACTGGGCTTGACGGGTTCCTGCTTCTCAACCTGATGACTCAACCGGTGCACGATTTCATCGTGCAGGATATTGAAACACATCGCAGTCAGGGCCATTCCTGACATAATATAACAGGAGCAGAACCACACGGTCACGTTCCTGGATTCGGCGAGGTTGTTGCCAGGATAGGAACCAGGCACCATGTCTCCGAACCCTATAGTGCTGAGACTCATGAAGCAGAAGTAGCTTGCGTCTGCAGAGGGAAAAGAAGTAAAATAAAAGTTAAATTATATTTCATCGAAATCTTCGTCGCGCTGATATCCAGGTAAAAATAATTTCTCTAGTCTGATTGATAAAGCAGAAAACTAACCAACAAAATTCCAACCCTCGAGCCTGTGGAGGGTGAAAGCCCCGGCGATGATGTAGCAGAGCATGGCACCGAGGCAGATACTGATAGGTGCCAGGATGGTGACGTTTGGTCTATCCCCAGAACCCAGACTGGACACCTCATCCTTGGGGCTGGTTTTTATCTCCGCAGAACTAGGAAAGGTCGAAGCATTTGCCCTTACGTAAAAGGGTTCCTGCAGCTGCAACTGTTGCTGCTGCTGGACGAGTTCCTCCTGCTGTCGCTTTTTCCTCATTCGTCTCTCCTTCTCCTGGAAGATACAGAGTCACGAAAACCAGGGTAACATACCTGGTGACCACTGCTGCTGGAACGCGCTTATCGCCCAGTGCCTATTAATCTTCCCTCTGCTTATGTCAACGAGCCATTAACACTGCCGTTAAATACCGCGCTGTTTATGTAAATGTGCTAAGACCAAGATTACTAGGTTTACTACTGCGAGATTATCAAATTGCTTTAGATTTATCGATTTCTCCAATTGACGGTGTACAGGTCATAAAAAAGTTATACAGAAACGCATATAGTCTCTCACCTGCATTCGCCTCTCGTCGTAGCAACAATATCCACAATTCGAACAGAGACAACAACAAAGCGCTCGCGTGAAGACACCCCGGGCGCACCTGGACAGGAGTCCTCCGGCGCTCGAGAGATATACCAGAGTCAATGGAATACCAAGAGTGGCGTATCCCATGGTCGCGACTTTGCCCCAGGTTGATCTAGGTGCTATGCTTCCGTATCCTGGAAAAAAATAAATAAATCTCGTTGTGACATAGCATAAAAATTACGTTATAAAAGTTTTTATACACTTTGTTATATTACAGTAACTGTAGCAATAACCGGTATCATATATTCTCTGTGTAATTGGGATACGACGTATTGCGGTAGGTATAGATTTTATTATCGGCGCGGCGCATCGATTCTTCGGATCAGCACAAGGTCGATGCGTGGCAGCCTTTCTTTAGCCACGCTAATTAGCCGGCAAACTTATCAGATATTTCATGCTTCAGACTCTCACAGTGCCGTTTCGTATTCTCGACTGGTTTCAATTTTACGAGTGTCCCGTTGCGAGCGAGATATTCGCGTCCTTCGATATTAAATCAAGTATCTGCATACGATTTTCACCCGTCCAGAAACATCAATCTCGAGGTAGGATATAACGTTTAACGGTCACCTGGGATCTCAGTGATCCCAATGCGACGCGTGATCCTTATTAAAACTGTACGGAAGTTTGACCGTCAATGTACTACTCGTGAGAGGAAGGAAAAAGGAAAAGACGTTTTGAAAAATGGTTAATTGAATGCTCGTAAAAAAGTCCGTATCGAAGTGTGAAACATTTTTAAAAGGTTCGATAAGTAAAATAGACTGGAGACTGACGAGGTGATTCGGAGCTGAAAATCGGGATAAAGCAATTTTCACGGACGATAACGGTTGGGAGAATAACGAGTCGACAAATTTTTTAACAATGAGATCGACATTGTCGTTCCTGCCACAAAAACTTATTTATCATTGTAAATTGAATTTTATAGTCAAGCACATGAATGTTATTGTTTTCCAGTATGACTACTTTATTTCTGTACTATGGAAAGCTCTGCATTTTTTTTATGTAGTATCTGCACTTTTAACGGACGAAACAATTATCTGATAATACATTAATAATTACGGAACTATAAACTTACAATAATAACAACAACGACAAAATTGTTTGATAACGGAGAATGCATTCTTTCGTTTGAACGGTATCACGTTTTTCGTAGGTGTCTTAAAAGTTGCTCAGGTTAGGTCAGGTGATAAAGGTTAACGCTAGTTCACTACGGTCATTAAGAGCATCTCGAAAACATTTTATAGTAGAAATTACAGTTGCGGAAGAGCAGCGAAGGAAAACTGAAGGAGACTAGAGAAGAAAAAAACGGAGAGAGAGATAAAGTTGAGTAAAGGAGGAAAGAGTGCCGATTAAAATTTTATCCGCGTCGGGTAGTTATTGAAATTTAAATTTCTCGAAGCATCGTCGAAGATAAGCCCGACGATACGTGCACTGCGTATCTTCGGTCAGGATGTCGAACGCAATTTAATTTAAAGTAATGAAAAAAAAAGAAAAAAAATAATATCGAAAGCGTGCCTTATCCCACCGAAGGGATATTTGAAATTATTCGAAGATTCGCCATCTCTTGAAAATTCGAAACCAAACTGAAAGCTCTGCATATCGATAAGCCATTCCCCCTCTGTGGGATTCTAGGTGCACGATATATACACATGTACTATCCTTGTATCCTGGTATCCCCCAGGATATCCCAGCAGCAGTATATTGTCTGCTTAGGCGTAACGTGGAGTGTCGATTCCCGTAGCGTAATGTCCAGTGGGAAAAGATAATGTTCGTGGTGCAACAGTAAAATTTAATTATCAGCTAAGCCATAACTTGGCTCGCCTCTTGTACTATCCGACAAAATACATTGCACCGAGGTACCAATGCGTTGCAGCTTGTATGCACCCGGTATGATTGTTAAGGTTAGTAAGACTGATGCACTGCATATAAAAACAGGAAGGTCGTCAAGGATTGGCTCAGTGTGCATTTGCTACTTTTCAACGTAGTAACGCAACAGAGTGAAGCTGCGTGACTCACGGAGTCACGACACAAGGTACTCATTCGAATCCTCTTCTCTTCCATCCACGGGATGAGGTCGAGAGTATCATGCCGGAGCACTGGGATCATTCTGATCCTGAGTTGTCTGCTGGTCCAGGTGCTTTCAGACGAGTCAACATCCTTGGAAGTAAGTGTTGATCGATCGGTCATATTTTTTTTTTTAATTTTTTACTCGACCAGGACTTCCTTTTGGACGATCTGCCTGGCAATCTCTTTTTCTTTTATCTCCCTGGGTTCTCTTTTCGCTCCTTTCGCGAATAAAGACTAAAGATGAATCTCGCCAAACGATTAGCCCGCGTCAAGGAGCGCGGTTTGCGCCTCGTTTACCTCGGTCGGATAAGATAAAACCGATGAGATTTGCAGTTGCAAATTACCGGGAGACGGGCGAAAACTTCGCTTGGAATTTCGCATTAGCGACTACGTTTCGTCCGTTTGGTCCGTTCGAGATAAGCTTCTGGGTTTCGTTCGTTAGATACGCCGTGGAGGCTGAATGGCTTCTTGGCTAAAGATCTATTTAAAACAGACTCATTTTCGATTTACAGGAATATCGCGTCGATGACTCCAATGGCAGGAGATACCAGAATTCCGAGGAAGAGCCTGTGATTCGTCTATTGGACGATCATAGGGTATCAAGGACTATTAATATGAACAGTAACATCCTAATCACTCCAATTAGACATACGGAGGAATTATCGCCTGTGCCAGAACCACACGTAAAGGTGAAAAAATTCTCGGCAACAGTCGAGGATGAATTAACTATGCAGTTGTACGCTGCTGTTATTTTACGTGAAAATATGCTACGCGTCTTTGGTCACGTGCTATACGTTTCGGATAGTCAGATCAGTGAGAGTCAGTACAGCTCTCTTTATATCATTCACGAAGCACTGCGCCGCAATTTGGTCTGCGTGTTCAACATGTTGCCAACCATGCACATAATACAGAGACAGAGGAAGACGGTGCAATGGAAAATGATTCTCGCTGAATTGACCAAGAACTTGCCTCCTTATCTGAAGAGTACTGCCGAATTTTTGACGTACGAAATTCATGGTAAACGATTCAGCATCAAAGCTCTTTTCCCACTTGACGTGGAAGGCTTGCCAGGTTTTCTTGACCATCTGGATCCGGAACTTATAGATATCTGCAAAATTATATCACCCGCCGTCGAGAAAAAAGGATACGACCAATCATCGAAATTGACTGTGGGACGTGTGTTCCTCGAGGTCCTATACAAAATAATTAACGGACAAATTAGTTTCACGCAACGATTGTTCGCCGTGATTTTAATGAGCCTCCCGCAAAACGGCGAAGATCCGATACTCGATGAAAATATTAGATATATTTTTGAACTTTCAAAATTCAGCCTGATACCGTTCTCGGAAATCATCGGTCACAATCACGACGCAACGGATCCGTATGAATTAATATATTTGACAATTTCGAAAATTTTGACCGGCCAACAAATTCCCATCTTCGTTCGAGAGAGTCTTTTCTACATTAGAAATCACTTGAGGCCGATTACCGTGACACATATTAATCCAATGCACAATTCTATAAAGAGGATAGTCAGCAATGGATTTAACGTTAATTTAATTCTATCTAGTATCGTGCAATTTGATTTTAGTCCAGACGTGGTTCATCTAAGGGATCGACTGTTGTATTTCATTCAGAAACGTTACGTTGACATGCAAATTATCCTGGATGGAATGAACACCTTTATTTACAGTAACCCTATGGATCTGCTGATTGCCTTGTTAACCAGAATGCAAAAAAGAATTCAACCTTCCTATATTGAAATTCACTGTACTATCTCCGCATTGCTCTCTTCTCTGGTACTGAAGAAGGAAATCTATGCATTCTGTCCAAGTATATCTCCAAGTATAGACATTACCATGATACTAGGATATCTGCAGAATCCAGTCTTGGACCTTACAGTTCGGAAAGAAGCGGACTCTTTGTACGTGTATATACTGAACCATCCTGATGAACTTAAAAACCTGAAAGCACTGATTCCTTCGGAAAAGAAAAAATGCGTTCTGCCAAGACAGTGCATTATAAACATTGTAACTGATATAAAAAATATCGATAATCCAACGACATATAAGAAACTACAAATCCTGCAGCTAATATTAATAAGAAGTTACAGCGTTTGGAAAGACGTATACCTGAAAGACCCGCTTGTAGGAAACAAGACAGATAATGTCATTCCAGAAACAGCTGACCCGGAAAATGATCGATTCAAAAATCCACTGATAATGTATATTAATGGCGTTGTTGCTTTTGAAGTACCTTTCTATATTACGACGACAACAAAGACGTCGCCATTAATGTCTTCAGAAGGGTCCGCCATAAATGAAGTTCGTACTACAACTAATATCCCTGCCGCTAGTACTACGACCAGAGATACTACTGTTACTACTGCCGTTAATGCTTCTACTACTGCTGCTTCTACTACTGCTGCTTCTACTACTGCTGCTACTACTGCTGCTACTACTGCTGCTACTACTACTGTTTCTACTACCATTACTACTACCAGTACCACTGGAAAACCTGCACAAACAACAACCGGCCAAATACTGTCTCAAGTAACTATAAACTCAACTGAACCTGCGAGAACGACAACAGAAAGGCAAGTAAACTCGACTGAACCAGTGACACTAAAAACTACGCAACACGAGTATCCATTGAGTATACCAAATCTTCCTGAAGTAGATAGAAGGTGTTGCCTTTTACATAAAGGCGTAAAGCCAAACGCCGACATTCACGTTGGTCTGAATAATTATGGAATTCCGTGGAGTATATTAGGGAACAATGGGGCACTAGAATCAAGCATGGAGAAAATTGTCGTACCTTGCATCATGACTTTACTGTCTCCTCCGAATATTGAAGCGCTATTCGTCGAGTGGGGTACCCATTTCAAAACGGCAATACTGGATCCTTTGCAAAGTATCTACGGTACTGAATACTTAATGAAAATATTTGAAACGAATTTACAAATTCAGAATTATCCCACGTGCATTGCTCTCGTAATAGCATTCTTGGAGAAAGCTTTGACGTTATACGAGGTCAAAACCAATATAAAATTCTGTCTTGTCATAGAAAAGTATATCCAGGTAATAAATTATTTGTCAATTGTCTTACTAATGCCGATGATGTCGCAGTATAACCATATAAAAGGTAACGTCATTTATTCAATAATAAATGATAATGATCCAAGCAAGAACCTTGTCTTGGAAAACATGCCTACGTCACTTGCACAAGGGAGTCTATGCTTCCCGCTGTTGCATCCGAAATATTATCTACTAGCAATCGATCAGAAAAATCCATACGCAGGATTACTTCCTGAACTGTCATCTGATTTTAGATATATTGAATATTTCCAAATACTGAAGACCTTCCTAGTCACAGAGAAAATTAATGAATTGATCGGATTTGATTTTAATCCTCTGGCGTACCCTAATCGTGGAACCTTATTCTGCGGCATTCTACAGGCTCTTAGCAAAGTTGTTTTCGTTCAGGGCGACGCCAAACTCAGTTACATTGTCACAGGTTACCTGAAGGCGATACGATCGTGGGTAATGTACACGAAGATACCCTCGTCATTTATTTCGAGCTTTCCCGTTTACGGATCAAACGTAGTCCCATCAGCAAACTGGGAACCTGATCTATCCAGTCTTATCGCAATGCTACCGCCAGCTAGGACGGTTACGGAACTAGACGCAATGGCACAATTAAAACTTGTGTTGGCCAAGCGAAATTTATTGAACATGATCGGAGTACCCAGACCCACGGTTGATACTAAAGGAAGTGTTTTATTAATACAGATTATTAAAGCGTTAATTGATGCCGAAAATGTATGGATCAGTCCAGTTTTTATGCCAGTGTTCAAAATTTACATCCAAATACTCGAAGAGAGTACAATGTTCGATGCTACGATATCATGGTTCTGGGTTAACGGGCATACGGAGAAGACGATTACACTTTACTTCGATGATGTGATTTATAATTGTCTGATTTACAATCAACTTCCGCCCAAGGCTAAAATAGCCTACAACTCTATGGTCAGGTACTTCAACAAATATCCACATTTTTTGCGTAAGTTACCAAAGATTGGATCAACGAGGAAACCCACGAAGGGCCTGTATCTGCAAGCTCTATTTATGAAGCTTCTTCAGGATAATGAAATAAGACCCTCTGTGAAGCATGACATCGAAATTCTCATTCCGTACATAAATATACATGGAGGTCCGATATCGAGGATGTTACGCAGAAAAATGAGGCTCACGAGAAGTTTTATGTAAGTTATATACAGGTAAATTATGTAATAATGTTTTATATGTAAAAATGGACATGTATAATCTATATATGAAATATAAACATTTACCGAGAATAACAATTAACTTATTAAAGATAAATTTTTTTTATCATTCATTATAATCGAATTTCTTTAACAGATTTAGCAATTAATATGTAATTTAATAAAAAAAAAATTAATCGTTAATATTCACGATGAGTGAATGTACAGTATTACGAGAACGAATGCCAGTGCTGGACCGAACTTGGACAGACTATACAACCTCTACAGGTTTGTACGAATATACGAGACGGGATGAAATCAGAAAAAGCCCATGTAAAGCGAGAATCTTGTGTTCTGTATAAAAATAACGTAATAACATAATGTAATGTAATAAAAACGGGTATGATCGTTAGGTACTATATTCATCTTCAAATTATACCTATATAGATCATATAAGATTACACAGAGGAAGATGAAGACAAGCTAGCCATAAAATTAGATAAAAAATGGGATAAAGCCATGATAAATTTTATAAATTCCTTTGCCAGGATTATTTTCTCGCCCGTTTTACCCCATCAACCCCTATACATTAATGTAGGTCTATTTAGATATACACAATACAAAACATATTTCACAAATATCCTATATATAATTTTTTTGCAAGAAATTTTTTGAAGTTACCTCGTAATATTTTGAAGTGTTTATTTTGACAATTGCATGGAAATCTGTCTAAGAGACTGGCATCAGTAACGAGAGGAGAATTGTAAAGGTGGAGAACGTAGAAATTCTTCTACCGTATTTTAATAGTCAGTTTATTGGTATACGCTTACTAAAAGCCATTAGGACAATGCCAGGTTTAATCGAGATTTATAACAGCGACTAAATAAATAGTACGTTAATTATGATATCGGTGAAATAAGCTTCGGCAAACACATCATTGTTGCCTATCGTGGTGCTTATTACGCCATTGTTTAATTAAAGTGCTTGCTGGTGGCATTAACGAGGCTCGTACAACGCACACTCCCAGTTCTCGAAACAATATAGCCCGTTTTGACGAGCAAGCTGCTGCCATTAGATACGTTCTTTCGACGAGGTAGCAACGCCATAAAGAGATTTAATGGCGAATCGAGAGTCATTGTTGCACGAATGTTCCTTAAATTTCCCATCTCGAGTCTCTTATCCTCTAGTGCACCTACGGCGGTTCAAATTATCGTTCTCGTCGAGATCAACGATTATTCGATCGGGTAACGTGGGTTTCTCGAAAGCGAAACGAGGATCTTGAAATATTTAAACAACCAATCTTTCTTCCTTCCATTCCGCGACTCTGGTTACAGTTTCACGTGGAGACCGATAAGGATGCTGGGAGAAACTTTAACGAGCAATAATTTCCAAGCAATCGCGGTAATTGCCCGCAAAGTCACGGCGCTGCGCTTCAACTTTGCCACTACGCGAGAAAGCTTCGTAGGCGAAGGATTTCAAAAGCTAAGATAATGTATCCGATTTATATTGTCCTGCCGATACTTTTGGTAAGTAAATAGTAGGGATGGAATTTTGAAAAATTCTTTTTTTCTTTAATCATTGCACTACACAGGTGGGATCGTCGCTGGGTCAAAATGTGACTGTGACTTCAGGATTTTTTGGACTTGAGAATGATTATAATTTTGGACACAGCGGATATACGTATCTACAGTCGAATTCGACACTGAATTCCCTTGATCTCTCCGGATGTCAAAATTATGATGTGAACAAGAGCGCTTGCCACTTTCAGACTGAAGTTTTCCTCAAAGGGAAAAGTGACGTCACCTTGATGAAGGCCTGGACCGCCGTCACTCTGAAGGACAACATCGTCACAATCCTCGGACTTCTTCTTCACTTGAATAACGACACCATCCCCGGGGAGCTATATCCTCCGCTTTATTTTCTTTATCAGGAGGTGCAGAGGGACAACTTCAGAGCGATGGATCTGTTGACGCGAGTTAAATCGATCGTCAAAAATAATCGCTTGAGTCAGCTGATCGCGTTATTCGGCAACTTGCATCACGCAATGCCAACGTACTGTAAAAGTGCTTCGGAGGAAGTGGGCAGGATACTCAATAAAAAGAAACTCATGCTGAAGGATATCCTCTCGAGGGGAACCGTAACCGAAGATGACATAGATGTCTTTCGGGATATAAAGCTCATGTTGATTCCACTGTTACGAAACAAAACCATTGGCAAGAATTACGACAAAAAGATCGAACAGAATCACGGTCGAGAATTCGCACAATTCTACTCGGCCATTGTCAATGGAAACGTCACTTTGACACAACCGGTACTTGCTGCTTTGATACTCAACATGAGGTACAGCACGTTAGAACCGGATGCCAGAGAAGACTTAAGATTCCTTGCCGACGTGCTACGAGAGAATAGAATAGAGGATTGGGATCCAGATTTGAAAAGTGTCAAGGACATCAGTGATCCATACAGCTTGGTCAGGTCAGTTCTCTCCACTATGTTAGTCAATTCGAAAGTGGATAATTTCATTAAAAACATATTAGAACATTTATTACCCCAGTTAGTGAAAAATCCCGAAAGTTCGGTCAATCCTCATTACAAAGTTATGGAAATATTTTTCAACAAGCCAGAATTAAACGTCACGCTCCTGTTCGATAAGTATTTTAAGAACGTTAATTCGACCCAGATCAATTCGTTCCTCGAATTTGTACAAAGTGGAAAGATTAATGTCCTATTCGCCCTGAAAGGCTTCATTCGTTTTTATTACGATTCGCCAAATGATCTGGCATTAGCGGTACTGAGTCGGATGAAGAATCGTGTCCCAATGGCGAGCGAGGTACGCGCTAATCTCGAGATGCTTCTAACGAAGATACACAGAAATAATAATCTGGCTGATACGAAAAACGGATGCAGGAGGAGAGTAACAAGTGAATCGATTATGACGGTTCCAAACAACCTCATCGATATCCCTTCCGTCAGTCGTTCAGTTTCGCCGGATGATACCCAGCTCCACCCTCGTCACGAGTCTTCGCAGAAAATCTTCAACGTCCTGGACCAGTCCATAACCATGGATCATCTTCGTCTCAATGCCACTGTCGATTCCACTGTGGTTCTTCATCCTAACAACGTCACATCCTGTCCGGAATTAGATTTCGCCGGACCGCTGTCAGCCTGGTTAGAGAGTCTGAACGGTACCTCCAGCAACAACTTCTCTTCCGCTTGGGTGAGAAACGTGAGCGCAGTCCTCACGACTGTCTTGAACAATTCGAAAATCCAGGAGGAAGTTCGGTCCTTTGTGAGAAACACCCGAGGAAACTTTACCAGGCGAGAGCGACTGATGAGCATTCTAAAATGGATGCTGACCCTGAAGAATATTCGAGCCATGCCCATAGTATACTACGAGATCGTTCGTCTCTATTGTATCTTGGAGTACAAGAAGGATGATCGCATGGTACAGGAATTAGTGAACGACCCAAATCTGGATGATCATCCGTCATCGAATATAATCCTAAATTTGAACGGTAACATTAGTATACCGCTAACTAGATTCCTTGAGGATGCAGACAATCTGAAAGACTTATCAGGAATTGATCCGAATGCTTATACGAGCAAGCGAATGCTACTCATGGCTCTGTTCAAGAGGATGCTGGGTCTCCAGAGTATTCAGGCAGATCCTCTTCTTTTCAACGAGATCATTCGTCTGCTGCATTCCGTGCAGACCTTGTTTTTCAGATTTGACCAACTGACGGAAGTGGTCGTCGCCAGTAACTCGGCAGACGCCGCGTTCACCGCCATTGTCGCAGAGTTCCTGTCGCGCTCGAATCTTCTCGCCATTCTGGGCGAAGATTTGGACATTGGTCGATACACGACCAAGGGTACCATGTTGAAGGCAATAATGGAGACAGCGCTGAACTCCAGTGTGGTCAAAGGGAATGTCCAAGTGAGCACAGCCATAAAATGGACGTTGCCAAACATCGATTGCACTGGATTCGGATCGGAGCCAGTAAAGTTTATCCAGCCGGAGGATATTATGTCGAACTACGTAAACTTGGACAGAATGATGCAGGTTGCCGTGGACAGGACGAGGATGACACCGGATATCGTCAGAGCATTCGTAAACATGTCCAACTGGTACGAAGGGACTTTCGATCCGATGCGGTATATACGTGGACTGAACATCAATCTCTACGACACGAGGGCCCAATTTCTTCAGGGTTATCTGGATAATTTGGCAAAAACGGTAAAGGAGAATGCTGCCGTTATGGAAAAGGACATTGAGCTCATGAAGTCGGCCATACTGACGAACGGAACTGGCGCGGAACCGGTGGATTATATTTGACTAAAGTGCTCGTTAAGGAGCCATTACTGTATATGTATGGAAAAAGCGAAGGAATAAACATAAGATTACGTAGAATGTGAAATTCTACTCGAGAGCCTCGACTTACTTTCCATCGAACGTAACGATATACGAGACAGCAGGAACGACTAGATCTTTCCGAGTTCTCAGGTAGGCGTATCCGTCGCGTCGTTAACGGAACCGGAAATACGGATTATGGGAATCGCTGTAAAAAGAAAGAATCTTAACATTTCTGACGTTTTACGCTCCACTCGAAACTCCGAGGCAAATTGCTTTGGCGAACGAGCCGTCGAGTGGAACAACGAGAAAGTTCCTGGATACGTAGGGTTTCTTCGTGGGGGGTTCTGAAGTTGCCGGAAGGGATATCGGGGGGGCGTTTGGTGTGCAGCTATGGTAACCCATTACATTTCTATACGTATGTATATAATGCGCGCTGTAATTCTAACAGTTTAGTAAGTTAAACGGGATTCGGGAAGTTCCAGCTTTCGACTCAATCCGTACGCTACTAATTGCTCTCTTTCAAACTCCATAAGTGCGCTACTAAGACAATGAACGGGTATAAGGGGAGAAATACAATTAACGTTTTGAATCGTCCTTTAACGATTAGGAAAATATTTTCATTTTGATTTCAATTAGTCCTCGGTTTACGATACGACGATAAAGAATATATTGCGTAATAAGCCGTATCACGGAGCTTCTAGAATACTCGTTTGCCTCGCATAATTGGAGTCCCGGGGATCGGCAAGTGAATTACTAGAGCATAGCTGTGCCCGAGTACCAACTGCGAATTGTAATGATAAAGAGGAAGGAAAAGTGTGGGAGGAAAAGGGGGGGTCGGAAGTTAGGGGAACGAACGAGTCGGTAGAATCAGAATTGCAAAAACAGGAATAAAAACGAAGAGTCGGAGGGACCCGTACTATTTATTTTACGGTGACCACGATCCGCATTTCCGCGCACCGCGAGCAAACTGTCTGGAAAACGAGGAAAAATTACTTGGAAAATAATAGTAGTGTGTATTATGTGACTGTGCACGTAGGATGGCAGTGAGCACGGGGCAAGAACGTTATACAAGTAAGGCGTTAAGTAACGTTGAAAATGAACGTGAATCAGAGCGTAAAGCGTGACAAACGCGATTCGCGAAATAATTCAATTTATTTGGAAAACCGGAGAAATTCAATGAAATTTGCAAATTTCTACGGTACAACGGTGGTCCCTTCTTAGTTATTTCATTAAATAAGTAAATAATTTGCGCGGCTGGTAAACGGCTAGTAAATGGGTGGGAAACGAGCATAAGGACGTACGGTTGGAAGGGTGAATAAGTACGGGGAGGGGGGGCGAGGGGGAGGGTGGCAGAGCGATAACGTAACGACGATGAGGTTTAGTCGTTATTGGGGATGAAAGTGGGACGAGTTAGGGGTTTGTGGCTAGTCTCCGTATTCCCATGTCCTAGCTCGTGTCTCCGTCCAGGGTGAACCGGAAGGACCGAGGACTAGGGAGTAACCGGTTGGAGCTAGAGCCCGAGCTCGTAACAGTAAGTCTCCCAACGGAGGACAGCTAGAAATTAATAACAGAGTCCCGAGCAAATATAGCATACATAATTAAAGCAATATTACGATCCAGGGACACGTGGTATATTGTCTTTGGTGGCAACGTCTGCATCCTCAGGCCGGAGTCACCCCCGGCATTATTAATTCAAGCCAGCGCACACCGGATAGGGATTAAAGAAGCGTCTACCAGTCTCCTAACTACTTTTCAACTAACCAAAAGAGTCCTCGTTGCTTGAATGGGTGTCAATGAGAGACGGGGATTGGTGTTTTTCAGGTTTTGACGCTGAGTATCTTTTGGCCCTGCTACGGACGCTTCACGGGGATCCAAAGAGCTCAGTTGCCGGGGGGCAAGGTCGAGACTGACGCGAGAAGAGATGACGGTGTCGTTTACAGGTGGTATAAAAAAAATGTCAGACCATCTTTCTCAGGGGCCAGTTCCTAGCTCGCCTATACGTACAGAAGGGACAAAGTGGCTCGATGCTTGCGGCCTTTATAAAGTGACGGGGTAAAAAGTGGCCGGAACACGGGGAACGGGCGAGCGAGGGAGGACAGGAGAGACTACAGTGTAGCCTGTATTCCTATATAACCGTGTTTTGGATGAATACAGCTATGAGCCGCGGCAGGAGGGACGAGGAGCACGAGGAGCACGAGGAGCATGAAAGTACGAGGGCTGAGAGCTCAGAGCTCCTAGAGAGACAGTGCACCTTGATGTATGAGATACTCGGTGGTTGCTTCGCCGCACCGTCAGGGAAATGTTGCCCCATAAAATATATCTCGGGGCGGGTTCTGGCTTATGCCGAAGACTCGGCAAGATGTTTCTATTTCATATAAACCGGTTGGAGGAAGGGTGCCGATAGGACTCTCCTATAAATCATCCCAGAGACGCTCGAATATTACCATCACTCTTCAATTTCTCTCGATCAACCCAAAATTCCGATCCGTATAGCGTGTCCCAAAACTATTCATATCGTTGCTATCTCGCTATCGATTCTCAATATATTTGTTTATGTAAATATATATACCAGTCTGCTATCGTCACTCTCTGATATCTTAATTAACAGCTTAGATAAGTCGGTAATGCTTCGCCAACCCTTATAACGTAGGCTTAGTCCTCCCCTGGAAGACCTAAACAAACTTACAAGCAACACCTCGCCGGAAGCTGGGGACACTTTGGATTTCGTATTGGAGAAAAACACAGGCTTGCTATTCCAGGGGTGAATTCTACCCAGCAACCCATCAACAAGCCACGGTGAAGAAATCGACCTTCGAGAGAAGGTCGAATCGGCCGCCGAAATCGACGTATTGGCAGGAGGGAATTACGACGAATTAGACCATGTAATTTATTTAGGACGAATCCACCGAAAGGGACGTTACAATCGGGCCTCGGTTCCATTCCAGTACATTCAATCCCATTTCTTTCCCAGAACAAAACACTCCGCCTGGGATTTGTCTTCCGCTAACAAAATCGCTATCTCGATATCGTCGATACACAAGTGAACCAACCAAGTGGGGTTCTACGAACGGGAGCGTATAGCGGGTGAGTGCGAGAGAGCGTGAGAGAGCCGAGCGCGGAATTGTCGAGAGCTTGAGAATTCTGGGAAAAATTTATGGAGCAGATGTTTACCGGACTGGAATGCACGGAGCTAGACAGGCAACGCGAACCTCTTTTACGCCCGGTACTTGAGGGCAGCTATTAGTAGTAATTACTCGAGCAATAAGTCTCTGCCTAACACTTCCCTCGTCCTTTCCTCGCGGCAGTCACCACGACTACCGCCCCACTGTCTTTCACCCCCTTCTATCCTCAGCCTAGCGCCTCTCTCATTTTCGCACCAGGGAGAAACTAACCCCTACCCGACATAGTATACCTCAGATATATAGGACACAGGGTTGCTTCTGCTGTGGCCTATACCGTGCGGGTTGAACAGCCACTACGGTAGAGGCATTCTTAAATTAAGCGGATTTCTTCCTCTCCCCCACCTCGCGGATTCCGGATATTTGCAAGGGTGAATCACAAATTTCCTGCTGCTACCCTTATTTTCTTCGCCACTTCTTTCACCCTCTTTCCTCGCAACTCGTTCTTTTGGAGGTAGTAATTGTTTGGACGTTGTACAGATGTACGTTCACGATAACTCGGGCAGTTGTGTAATAAGGGTGGTTTACTGGTATTGAAGATTGGTTGAGGGGTGAAAAGAGGTATATGGGGTAATGGGGTAATGGGGGAGAGAGAGAGGAGAAAGAAAGTCATTGCTGAGGGTTTCGAACGAGTCGATCAACACATAAAGTTGAGGATTTATTTGTAACATATTGGATGGTGAGTCTCGTACGTCGCCCGAAACCATTCGAATTGAAGCCGGTATCAACCAAGGTTAAAATCCTGTACGTGGCGATAAGAAAGACGTAGGATATAAAAAGAAGCTACTACCCCTATAAGAGCTACGTTTATTGCTCAATATCAAATGGCGTATTGATCCTCTTTTCTTTCTGCGTTATTAAACGCCGGGACTTTACAATCCCGATCATATTTGCCAGCTGTTTTAAAGCTTTTCGTCAGTGCTCATCATCAACCCCTGTAAAATAAACCATATAGCACTGACTTGCCAAGCCGAAGGTGGATCTAATAGAATATCACGGCTGTCACGTAATACATATTTTTGAAATGCAAAATATACATAGAATGCGTAAAACCCCAAAAATACAAGTTCCACTATTCCTATGATTGAAGTAAAATTTTCGAATAATTATCTTTTATGAAATTTGCTATCGTGATAAAAAAATTTTTAGGATAGGCATATGGGTTTATACGACCGTACACGAAGCGAGTGAGAAAATAATAATGATAATAAATTTCAAGCATTTAGTTAGATCAATTATTAAACTTCTTCGTGCTCCGTATGGGATATTTTACTCTCTCGAAAAGTTTACCTTGTAAAAGAAATTCAAAAATCGTTTTTCCCTGTTCGGGTCTCGGCTAGCGGACGATAGTTTTTAATTAGCCAGCTCGACGGAGATTTTTCAAGTTTCGCAAAACGTGACCCTCGAGCGTACCGCGAACGCTTTAAGCTGCGGGGCTCTAGGCAGGAAAATTGATGTGAACCTACCTTCATTCTCCGTCGCACTTTCGCATTTTCACGCTCACACTCTTTCCATCCCTCTCTATTTTACACTCTCGCTCTGGCGCAGAGAGCTGTTTCCACGTGAAATTGAATTTGGGGATAGCCGGGGCTCGGGTAGCTCGCTAATTGACATTGCAGCCGTTGTGAGCGATGCTTATCAATTTATTGGAAAGAGTCGCCATCA